GTCCTTGTTTTCCTTGGGTACTTTCGTGTATTTCCCCAAGGCGTCTTTTCTTGGTGCTTCCACCAAGGCTTCGGCGACTTTTTCGTCTGCCGTGTTTTCTAACTGGTGTGCTACCGCCAGTTTGATTTTATAATTTATGTCATCGTGGTCGATGACTGACATTGGGCCCATTCTTATGGTCCCAACGTTGACTTCCTCACCCTCTGAGTCGGGTGAGTATTGAGGTCCTTCGTATGGGTCCTCTACTTCGAAGCTTGATGCTTCGGAGTTACCAGAGTTGTTCTCTGGTTTCTCATCTGATGAGCCTTTCGACTCTTCATCCGTTGAGTTCACGATTTCCATGGCAGCTATGCGCCTTGGTTTTTCATCGCTCGTTATATTGTGTCTTGGGCAATCTTTCGTTTGCCCTATTTTGCTGCATTTGCCGCAAATTGGAACTGACTTTTGGTCAGTTTTCCTCGAGTTTTTCGAGGATGTATCCTCTTTCCATCTGGGTTTCAGCTCTTCCGCTTTCTTTCCTGATGGGAGGGCTCTGCCGCAGCTCGTTGTTGCCGTGGTAGTTGTTCGGGTATAGTAACCTGATTTGTAGGCTGAAGACATCTTCAGCCCGTCAATTATCTCGTCTACACGAGATATTGCTTTTAACATCTCCTCGTTTGAGGAGAAGTCTGCTCTGATTCTATCATGAGCGATCATTTCCCTCTTCCATTCGAGGGGAATGTAGTTTAGGAACCTGGCGTTGAAGGACGCCTGGTCTGGAGGCATCACCATCTGGGACGCTGCTTTTGACAGTTCTAAGTAGAACTGTTTTAGGCCTTTTTCCGCTTTGTATTTGACGTTGCGGTATTTCTTTGTCGCGTTCAATGCGGTGGAGGCTTTGATGAAGGTTCTCATCAATATGTCGAGAACTTCGAGGAACATGCCCTCGTCTCCTCTGAGGAGAGTTTCGTCTCGGAGTCTAATTCCGAGGTCAAACGCGGGTCCCCCTAATCCACGAATCAAGCAGTCCAGGTGGACTTCGTCGAATTGGGGACCTTTGCATCCTCGCGAGGCGAGGAATCCCAGTAGTTCTGTGAACCACTGCCAGAACGATTCCATGTCGTTCTCCCCTGACCATTTCTTGTCAGGGAATGCCGGCCCATTCTTTAGGGCTTCTGGCTTCACTCCTTCTGGGTAGGGAGTGAGTATTCTCACTTTGGCCATTCTTATGGCCTTTTCGTACCATTTCTCCAGGTACTCTTCTTGCTCCCCTGCCTTCGCAGGGTCGCTATCCAATGGAGATCTCTCCTTTGGGGGGGTTTTTGCTGGGGGAAATCTTCCTCACAGCATTTCTTTGGTTTCAGGCGAATTTGCCTGAAGTTGTATTTGTATTCTCTCATTGTTTTGAGAGGGTGTGAATGAGTTCCTCTCTGTTCGAGAGATCCATCATAAGTGGATGTTTGGCCAAACCTTTGGTACGTGCCAATTCTCCTTCTAATCTCTGAACAATGCCTTCTTTCGGCATCGTCTTCTCCTATCCTTGGGAGAAGGATCTCCTTAGCGTCTCTGTCGAGTCACTGATGATATTCCAGTGTGCTTTCACTGGTGGTTCTTTTCGTGAATTTTTCACGAGTTCTATTTATGTCCTGGACCGTGGTCCAGGGGTGTCTATTTGTTTCCTCACTTTTTTGTGAGAAGTTTATTTCTTTCAGCAAATCTGTTTGTTCGCTGATTTTTTCAGTCAACGCGTCGATTGCGTTGGCCATTCTTTCTAGAGTTATCTCTAGACGAGCCATGCTATTATGGTTCGTTTCCTCAATCTTTTTTTGGATCGAGTTTATTGCGTTTATTATGCGCGATTCCTGGTTTTCCAGGAGGAAGTTTGGTTGGGCGAGCAGTGACTCTCCCCAGTTGACATTTCCGCTTCTGGGGGTTCCAGAATGGGTTCTTGGAGTGAACACTCCACGCTCGCTTTGTTTAGGCGAGGCCGTTGCGGAGGGTGCTTCCCTTTCATAGAGGGGTCTGTTCGCTGGTTTCTCCTTACTTTTACGTAAGGCTTCCTCAGCGAACTCCCTCATTTCAGTTCGCCTCCTCTTCATTATCTCGGAGACCTCCTCCGAAGTTGGCGACCTTGCCTTGTCTGGCATGGTGTGTGGGAGTGTAAACAGCGGAAGTTCTTTTGGAGCTTCCGCACTCTGGGAGATCCTGCTCTCAGGGCGTATTTTCACACCTTCTCGGGCTTTCAGCCTGAGAAGAAGTTGATCTTCACTTTCCATCCTCCATTCAGACGGAACCTGGAACAAGTCCAGTAGTTTTTCGGATAGCCGTCGTGGGGGCTCTTCCCTTTGTTTCCCTTGGTCTGCCTTTGGGGCTTGATGTCAGGGCACAGCTGACCCCACACACCCTCAGGTACCCTTCCCCCATTTTCTCCTATTTTTCCCTTCACTGTTCCACAATCCTGCATGCATGCAGACTGTGGGAACGTTCTGGGCGAGTTACTCGCCCAGAAACCATCACAGCCACAACCGTGGGAACTTTCTGGGCGAGCTGCTCGCCCAGAATCTTCCCACGGGGGGGTGCCAATTATGGAAAGTCGGCAAAGAGCTGAAAACTGTATAGTTCCCGGCTCCCATTTGTAGCAGCTTCACAGGAGGTTGAGAAGGTTACCCTTCTTCTCAACTCATTTCCTGTGAAGGCTGGGGCTAGCCCCCTCAGTGAGTTTGAAGACCTCGGACTGGGACTAGATACCCCAGCGACTCGGAGGATCCCCTTGGGCCTGTCACGGAACGAGGGCCGGGCCCTGACACTTGACTTGGGGACGTGAGGGGGGACTCCAGGGGATAGTGGGGCCCTGGAGTTTCCTGCGACTCTATCCAGTCAGCTTTTTGGGCTGATCGTTCAGCGCTTACACGTTTTTCGCGCAAGTCGATCACCTCGTGAGGAGGTGAGGGATCTTCCCCAGCTTGGGTTAGATCGGTATGTTGTGGAGTTCTGGGGGTATTTCGCCCCGCACTTACTCCACATAAGTTTCTAAAGCCTTCAGGGACCAGCCCTGAGGTGGTTGCTATTGCCGGATCATGTTGATCCTCGTCGTCGTCTGACGACGGCTTTTGGTTTGAATCTCCCTTGATGGGAGATTGCGGTTTCTTTATAAACCGCTCGTTTCTTTTTAGTGTCACTGCAGATGCAACCTTGCCCTTGTGGGCGTGTTTTGGCGCCATAGGCACTTCCGAGTCAGATGTTAAGATTGTGTAGTTGTGGGTTGTGTTGTAAAACACACCTCATGCACTTAAAAAAGTGTGAGGTCTTAGGGTGGCTCAGCACACAAGGCCATAAGTGATACAAGATAGTGTATTTTACGGTGGTGTGTAAGCGGTTACCTGGAGGTTCCCGCTTGCCCACGTGACTATGTGTATCTAATTTACATGTGACTCAGGGTTCGGGGCTATTGCCCTGACACCCATACAGTGACAAAGGGGCATTTCCCTTGGGCGATGAACCAGCACCGTTCCCATTTGGCTTCCTCCACTTGAGAGATTGGGGATGTGGCAGAGAGTTGGGTTGAACCAAATTGGCACCTTCCTGTTCAGGATTATTGCCTTGGCGGTAATCTCAGGAGCCTTCCCCTTTCTGTTTCTATCCAGATTCGCCAGCCTATCAACTCTAGGGTTGAACTTGTCGAAGCGCTTCTTGAAATGGTTCTGCCATGAAGCGACAGGATGTTTGCTGGTCCAGTGGAGTTCTGCCTTCTATGTGCAGTTCAGCCCAATGGTGGGTTGGGGTGAGATTCAGGGTAAGAGTAAGCAAGCAGCAACACACACATCCTCACACATCCGCTTAAACACTGTCCAAGCAGTCCTGCTGCTGTGTGCATTGCCAGGGATATGTTTGGGGACGTTGATTGCTAGCCATGCAAGCATCCGCTCAACCTGTTCATTGTAAAACGGTTTTGCTTCCTCTCTTCTACACACAAAACTCATCAGGATCTTACACAGAAAATGCAGTTACATATACCAAACCTGCGACTGGAGTTACTCCCACTAGCCTATCAAAATGAGTGTTACATGTCGAAGGCCATGGAGAAAACCTGTACCTGTTGGGTCTGATCCATAGGGAGGTTGATAATTTGAAGTATAAGTATGAATGAAAAAATTGTGATGGAGATAGACACGTGACCAAAAATTCTTGTCACAACTGATCTTATTATGCCACAACCTTAGATCCCTTCACTGGCCCCTCTACATTCATACAAAACCTATCCCAAAATAAACTATGCCCTGGGCTATGTTTTTTTTCAAACACCTTTTCATTTTTGAGACCCATATCTTCATAGATCTCCCCAGCAGAGTGGGGGAGAGCCTGACTTCTCCAGGAGATCTTCATGTTGTATTGAAGCATTCAAATCTCACATTTAGACATCCAGTGTCAAGGTTCCACATCCATTTAAGCTGGATTTCACAATTTTCTGACAAGGGTCTTTTTGTATTGTCACAAGTCCGTGACAGAAATTTCTGTCACATCTTTTATGGAAGTGTGGGGGATCATGTTGGCTACCAATTATTTGCACTCACTTTTGCTATCTCACTTGCTCTTGCTCTTATACTGGGTCACTACACCATACCCACTGTCCACCATTAGCATCCACTATACCCCTCAGGGCATTCTGGTGCCTGTGTGTTGTGGTTATTGTTCCCTTTTATGGGAAGCTCCCTTGTTCTAACGGTTTAGCCTTTGTTCCTTTGTGCCACACAGAAATGTATATAAGTGTGGTGTGTAGAGCTGAGTGCGATGTCTAATGATACTGTGATACCATACTCAGGCAAGTTCTTCTTATCATATCCTTGTATTTATGACATATCTAATGATACTGTGATATCATACTCAGAGGTCAGGCTGCAATGCCATGATTATAACAACATTGACATGCAATCAGAATGCACACATGAAAATATACATTGTACACATCAAGATAATAAAGGAAGCATGCACCACGCATCACCACCCTGAGACCCAACCCTTCCTTACAGGCCCTTCCTCATTCTCAGTCCCCGATTGATCCGATCTGACCATGCTTGGACATCCTCCTGAAGCCAAACATCGATATATGGCACCATGCTACAAGGAGGTTGCTCTAAATTGACAAATACAACAAGTGCATCTGAGGTTTGGAGTTCCAACAAGTCAAGATAATTGTAGTCTCTGATGCCATTGGGCAATGCCTGTGGGAGGTCTGTTGGTCGATGCATAGAACAGGTCATCGTTCGCATGAAAGACCGAATTCCTGACAATTTCAGTGATGTCCCCAATATCAACAACACACGTGGTGAGGAAGATGCATCTTGGTCCAGTAATAAGCCCTTCTCTTCAGCAACTGGATCACTTTCTGGACCATCTTCTGTGTAGACGATTTGATGGCAAAGCACACCAACATGTCTTTGGCACCTCAGTCCTTCTTTTTTCCGTCTTGCCACTATATGAGAAAGATTGAGAGTGTGAATAAAGGACAGGTAGCACTGAGTTCTTTACCTTCTTCAACACACTCCTTACATTCAGGGAACAAGCCCTTTTTGTATTGTGCAACATGGTGTGCAGTGAGCACACATGATTTAGAACAGATATTACATCTCAGTATACTATGGCATAACAAGCTAAGCATGGGCAGGCAGCATGTTAGGAGAGAACACACCTGAGAGACCCATGCAGGGTTACGTGGACCTGCCTGCCATTGCTGTCAAATAGAGGAAGACCTGCCTTGGAATCAAGATCATCCACATTGTGCGTATAAGACCGGCACAACAGTTTGAGCTGAGACAGGTGAACGAGGAGGCTGTGTGCTGTACTGGGTGGGGCTTGCAAGCAAAGCTCTGAGAGTCTCCCTAGTGTCTTGAGCTGTTCTGCTGCTTGTTCAGGTTGCTGCACCCTAGTGCGGAACACATCCCTGTAAGGGATACTGCCATCTTTGTTCTTGATCTTGTAGAGGCCAGTGGCAGAATGGAAGTCCTGGAGAATGATTAGAGCTCTCTCATGCTACTTCTTTCTTTGCAAAAACAAACCAGGATCCCAGAGGCACATGAAACTCCTGCACCAGTGAGTGTGACAACCCGTTCTGGGAAAGATCGAAGCAGATGGAGGCAAACAATGGCATCAAATGAGCCCTTATCAGATGATTTTATCATATCGTCGCAAGAGGGGTTGGGATGTTGGATACAAAGTGTGAAGGTTTGTTTTTGTTTGTTATGGTAATATTAATAATGTTGATGGTCACATGTCACCAATCGGTTCCGATGACGGAGTGGGGAGGAGAGAAGTGAGGTTTGGGGGATTGTTCCTTACCTCTCCCAGTCGACGTCCCAATGTAGAGGCACTGGACTTGCACCAAGGGTTGTCCACTATTCCGGTTTTACAACCCCACTGATGATGGCGCCCCCGCCCCACCTAGAGTAATCATAGCCACGACCTGTCCCCTGACAACTCAACTCAATCTACCCCAAGCCCAGCGAATACCCGCACAGAGTATGTAGTACCGGAAGGAACCCAGGACATAGTACTCGACTCCGGAACTGACACTGCTGCTGAAGGGGGCCTAGTCGACCACCCAGTGGTTATCCACCCCTCCATAGGGCAGTGCAGCACACCCCAGGACCAACAAGCACATAATGCCTATACCCTCCCAGGCGACTTGGCTACAGAGTCCTGGGGTCTTCAGCGCACACCTATGCTTCAACGTATCAGACAGAGCCCAAGCAGCCTGGCAAAACGCGATGAACTACTCCGTTTTCCCTGCATGCAGAAGGCCAAGGCAGATGCTACTATCTTCATGAAGTGGGCCTTCCCTGGTTTAGCAAACACTCTCGTGGTCATCCCAGCCACAAAATTAAATGACCAGCAAGCAGACGAGCCACTTCCCAGGGGAATAATGATAGCAGGCCAAATGTACAGCAACACAGCCACTCACCTCTCCAATCGGTTCTGGATCTCCAAGGCCTTCAGCTTCGCTGCCTACCCTGCGACAGACTTCACTGCCAATTGGCCAGCCGCCTCAGACAAAACCTGGTGCAGACCAGCACCCAGGTGGACCAACACCTAGCCAGCGAAGTCCTGAACATGCTGCTATGCCGTGAGACCATTAACCCAGCAGAGGATGGCCTAATCACCATGATTAGACATGGCAACGCCTCTACACACTGGGTCTTCATGGCCAATTCCCCCCCACCCCACCGACGTGTTCCAACACAGACAGTGGGGTAGCCGCAGCTGGAAGTACGGAATGGTATCACCCTTCCATCGCCACAGGTGAACTGCAAGTGCTGCAAGGGTAGAGACCTACCAGCGCCGGCTGAGCAAAGTCCCGTTCTGGAACGAAGCATTCCCCCACAAAAGAATCAATGACCCCAAATTGCGAACACAAACCCCACCAACAACGCAGAACTTACTGCCACCCACAACCACGGACCCTCAACGAGCAGGGATGGCAGATGTGGCCGAGGCGATCAAGCCAATCCAGATCATCTCAACCTCTGGATAGTGCTGATGAGGCCCCACGATCTGTATCAGAAGAATCAGCCTGACCCAATTTGTGTAGTTAGACTCCAGGAAATGTTCTCGTTTCTGACCTTGGATGTATTTACATTCGTAATCAATTCAACATTCGCTCCCGTCCTCCAAGTCGGTCACATCCCTTGGCCCCAAATCACCCTACGGTGCAAAGTCTACATTCTTACAAGCTCCAAGGGCCCCTACAGCGTTCAACCACTACACTACAAGATGCCCCCACAGTACCAGCACCTTCCACCCCATATCAGGTGGAAAGTCAACAACACTGGTGAACTTAGCACCTTCTCCAGCGAAGCTGTGGAGACTCTCGGTTGCGCATCTTCAACAAGCTCGTAAGTTGGTTCATACCAGTCCATTCACTCAAATAATGTAATTTCCTTACAGATCGTACACCCCCAATGCATGGACATTGGACTCATTCGAAATTGGCCGTTGCCTTGGGAGGGGCGGGTTTGGACGCGTCTACATGGCTCAAACCAAGGAGGCTCCCAAGTTTATTCTCGCCCTGAAATGCCTGTACAAGGCTGAACTGAAAGAGGAACATGCCAAGGAGCAATTGTGTCGTGAGATGGAAATTCAGAAGGAACTGCGACATCCGAACGTCTTACGCCTCTATGGATTTTTCCATGACGAAAACCAGGTTTTTTTGATGTTGGAACTCACACCGAAGGGAGATATCTTCAAGCACCTTACAACACTTGGACATTTCTCAGAAGAGCAGGGAAGTCAAGTACGTCTGTTCAACTGCCACTGATATTCTCCAACTGATTGGCTATTTTAAGTACATTTCTCAGGTGGTGGCTGCATTGCAATATCTACATAGCAAGCATGTCATCCACCATGATATCAAGCCTGAAAATCTTCTCCTTGGTCTTGACGGAGAGGTGAAGATAGCCGATTTTGGATGTAGTGTCCAAGCAAACAGTAATCGGTGTGTGTTCCATCAATGCATGACTGCTTTGATTAGTATTGACACGACCCACCAGCCGGATGACATTCTGTGGCACTCTCGGTTACATGGCCCCTGAAATGATTGCAGGGGAACCCTGCATGGAGAAAGTGGATCACTGGGCACTGGGTGTCCTTGCTTACGAGTTTCTTGTTGGCAATGTACCCTTCGAAGCGAATAGTTTCATAGGTTCATGTTCCCCATGCGATGAGTTATCCTGTCTTTGACTGATGCTATGCGACAGCAACATGCCAATGGATTGTGTTGGTGGACTTGGAACTTCCCAGTCACATTTCCCCAGAAGCTTGTGACTTCATCGAACTTGTGCGTCCAACCCACTGTTGCTTGGCACTCATACTGATTTGTTACTAACTGCTGTCAGGGACGACTCCCAGGTCCCATGACCCTCCCTATGGTCCACAGCCTGTGGTGTAACCAGCCTGTCCAGGCACAACTCTACTGTGGGTAAGGAGATGAGATAAACAAGGCAAGTATATACACTTGCCTACTGTGGTAAGGAGATGAGAAGGAAGCTAACTTCTCATCTTCCACAGTGCCACAATATCAGCAAAACTTCCGGATACCCGGAAGTCACATGAAGGGTAGAAACCGGGTCCGGAGCATGCAGTGCACGGAGCGTGCGTGCATGCGGAAGCGCAGTGGGGAAGCGGTCGGACGGGTCGGTCGGCTAGTCAGGTGTGTGCCTGACAGCTGCTGTGCAGAGAGCCTGAGAGGAGGCTCTTCTTAGCGATGCAGCGAGTCACCCTTGGATAACAGGTGATCGTTTTTCACCGGAACTTTAAATGCAATCTCCTTCACCTTGGACCCCTGTAATGCCTTCGCTTGCTTTAATTTTTGTAAATAAGATCATAAATTTATACCTCATTTTGGAATGTAGATAAATCTACATGATAGGTTGGCATGATCGAACCGATTGGGGCACAGGGAGGGAATCCCAGGGATTTGATCAAATCAGCTCAATCGACCTCAGAGGTGTCCTGATGCCAATCCCACAGATCATGTCAAAAAACACCCTCTCAAACAAGAGAGAAGCTATAATATTTGACCCCCCAAGACCCAAGGATGCCCACATAATAGAAAACTACAGAATCAAAAGGGGATATTTTTCCACCGAGTCTCCCACTGAATGATGCAGTATTGGTGAAGATGCGAAGCGTTCAACAGCATGTCGAATGGCACTTAGAGCTCCTTGCTCAACCAGCAAGGCCCTTAGGGTACCCATTATGCACTGCTAGGCCTACCCAACAGGGCATTTTCAATGGGGGCCCCCATCATATGGACCATGACACAAGCCATCCATTGGGGCCCCTACAAACCCCGGCGAGCTTGACCCTTGGGGGCAGCCTGTATCATGGTACGTAATGGCAGGGGCCCCTACTGGAAACGCCCTGTTAGGTGGGCTTAGCAGCACAGAATGGGTACCCAACGTAATTATATTAAAAGTGAATGTAAAGTTGAAAAAAAGAATGAAAAATAGGAATTTTTCCTTCAGGTGACTGTCTTTATCAATTAATGATTCTCCTGACTGCTTCGTCTTGTAATTCTTAAGCACTATATATTCTTGTTGACTTTATATATTTGGGTGCCCTACAACGTTGTGGTTGTGCTGTGACACATTGTGTGACAGAAATTACCATCACAGTCACTTGAACATGCCATTGCTTCTCTATTGCATATTCAGAATGGAAGGCTTGCATCACCATCACTCTGAATGTAAAGGTGATTGTGGTCAATAGCCCAGCATGTATTGATGCTGCAAGGGCCATGTTTAGTGAAGATGATTCCACCAACATAATCATCGGGATAACCTATCAAACCAACCATGGGGTGAACCCCATCATTCGCGGCTGACTTCTATGGGTTCAAACCAGTCGTCCAGCATAGCACCTCGTCATACTGGCCTGTCAATGTTTCAAAGACATGGAAGAGGGAGCGATGAGAAAGTGGACCTTCGATATACGGAAACGCAATGACAGACACTTGACGATGCTACGGAAACTATTGCTAACATCGCCCAAAAACAACCCACCTTGGAGTAATGTGCTCGTAACGCCTCGCCATGCAGTTCAAATGCAATGGAACGATCAATCACTACGATGACATTGCCCGATATTTGTATCGTTTCCCCCTGCCTGCCTATCAGTCAGACTGGATTCTGAGCATTTTATCTTAATCACTTACACACTTTCATGTACCCTAGCGAAACATGCTAGGTAACTAGTTTCAATGCTATTAGTTCAACAACGTGCCCACTCTCTTCCTGTCACGAACTACTCAAGCTCTTATAGCTCCTTCGAAAGTGCCTTGATCAGACTTCGACCGAGTTTCAATCGCATTACGAGCTCCCTTCGATTCGCTCGTATCTGTATCTTGAACTCACTCCCAACTCATTCCAACTCATCGCACTTACCCCAAACCCTCATCTCGAACGCCACCCAGCAAATGCCGAATCCCTATCAACTCCCCCGACTCTTTCTGCAGCCAATCCATTCCAGCGCTGCGAGCTGGCTTCGAATGCTCCCCACGCCCACCTCAAATGCCTACCAAAGACACATCAAGGCTGCCCAACTTGCGGTTCGCAATGACCTAGCGATGCAGGGGGAAGGTTTTACTCAAGTGCAGGTCTACCTGCCTCCCCACACTCGAGGAACG